TAGAAATAGCCCAGGAAAGTTCAAAATTACTAGTAGTATTTTTCCCCTCAAAATGAAAACTACTAGCTGCTAATAATTACCTTTGGAACTTACTCTCTTTCCCATTTGTTACAGTTGGTGGGTATTTCTACCAACTTTTCTCATTTCCTTGTTATTCTTACCGAGGTGTCCTTTACAGTTCTTTTGGTAATTTATCTCCAAAACTATCTCTAACTTCAATGTATATTAGTAAGATTTTTCAGTTGAACATTCTCTAAATTATCCCAGTGCTGTTCTTTAGCATCTAAAGATAGATTTCATATATAGCCCAGTAAATAGAAAAATACTGATATGATCAATATCTGTAGCTGTGGAAAAATCCTTTCTTATTCTTTTTTTTTAAGCACAGACATTAAGTATTGCTTTCCACACATTTTTGAGTCAGTTTTTTACACTTTCATATTAAAAATCTACAGCTCTTTTTTTTTTTTTTTTTTAGCTGAAACTTTCAATACTGTTTTTTGGTATGCTATGCCAGCCCTGCCCCTAGGGCTTGCTGAGATGGCAATTGAGACTGAGCATAGTAGTGTGTGCTTGTAATCCCAGCACTTGGGAGACTAAAAACAGGAGAGTCAGTACAAGTCTAATCTGTGTAGTGAGACCCTGTAGACCCTGTACTAAATACAAATAAATAAATATTGTTTTAATGAAAATAAGGCAACTTGAATTAGAGCTAATGTATTCCAGAAAGTATACAGCCATGGAAAGTTCTGAAACACCTGTTTCTGAGAAACTCATCTAGATGCTCAGTGGACCAAGTTAAGGACCCTCTAATTCCTCCTCAATAGAAAAGAGAATACCTCCCTAACAGGTATCCATGAACTAGTCTTAAGAACCTATTATATAACTCATTATCTTATGTGACAAAAGGAAATTGGAGTGCTAGACTAGTTACAATTAAATTGAATTCCATTGACTTTGAGATAAAGAAATTCTGTGGATAAAATTGAATATGTTCATTAGCTGGCTGGGACTGGTCCTGGGTTATCTAGATGGGTCTAGTCCAATCACAGTAGTTTTTAAAAGCAGAAAATGTTTCCTGGCTCAGGTCAGGAAAGGCAGTATGAGGTCAAGAGTGGTATGACCATGGAAGAAAGGCCAGAGAAAAAGAGTTGCTGACTTTACAAGGGGACCCTAAAACAAGAATTGTGGGCAGCCTCTGGGAGCTGGAAACAACTAGGAGATGGATTTTCCCAAGAGCAGTCCTACCCCAGAGCAGCACCTTGATTTTAGTCTACCGTATCCCATATTAGACTCCTATATAGAAATATTAGATAATAAATTTTAACTGTAAGGAAGGATGTGAGGCAAGAAGACCTCTTGACACGCTTTTGTGAAACCACAAGGCATATGGGTGCATGCAGAGGATGAGAAGGGCATCTGTAGGGAACAAAGAGAAGCAGGCCCTTTCTGTAGGGATTGAAAGAAGTTAGAGAACAGTGGGCATAAAGATGTTATTAAACATCAGTGGCCAAAGTTCTCTTTTTGTCCTGCACTTCAGTGGGCAGAGTCCTGGAGGCTTGCATGCAGTGTAAATTTTTACATATCTCCAGATGTCCAGAGCCCTGCAAGATTCTTTGTCCTAGCTTATCTTTTATGGCATCCTGTGTTTGATGACAGCCTCAATGTTGAGCTGAGTCTCCACTGAGAACAGTGTCTCTGCTGGCAAACAGGTTCAGGGCTGGGAGAATCATTTCCCCTTGGTGCCTTACAGAGCCTGGACAGCAACAGGAAATGAATATATTGCCACCCTTATAGCCATCCATATCTTATACTCTTCATCTTTAGGACTGCTGTTTGGAACAAACTTAACAGGCTCACAGATTCCTACAATCTTTTTAATGTAACTGGGCTAAATTTTTAAAAATTTGTTATACAACCTTGTTTCAATAAAGTGGTACTTGCCTATTAAAATGGAAATTGCAATTAGATTTTTTTTTCAAAAATAAAAGGGAGGATGCTGTGCCTTTGTAAGAGAAAGATGATTTTCTTCTTTTATTATTATCTTAAAGATTCAGGTTTTTTTAATGAGAAATATTTGGCAAGTGGTAAAAGAGCCATGTGTCTGATGATAGCTATGGTTGCAAAGACTGAATTTTCCTGAAGAATATATGAAAGTGACTTAAGATAATGCGTTTATATAAACATCAACTTTGTAATGCTGTCAGAGTCAGAAAGACCTAGTGTAATCATGTAGATAATTGAAAATTACCATTGCCTGACATGATCTCTCTGTGGCTGTAGAAATTAGAGTGTATAGCCCAGCTCCTTCTCTTTTGGTTTACTCCCTTTGCCTCTGTAAGCATTTCATCTCTTCTTATAATACTGAATAAATATTTCTAGGGTATCATCTAAGATGATAAATCCTTAGGAACCTTTGGTTTTCATCTTGTTTTGTGATATAAAGAAATACATCAGATCTTCAATTTAATTTAAAAGTCAGTATTTTCCTCTTTAGTAATAATGTGTTAAGATACAATTTTTAAAAAGTATCTTTAAAGAAATTATTTCCAGTATTACTAACGGAAGCAAAGCTCCTCGTTCAACATGGCCACTTGGCATCTGTAATTGTCCATGTGAGGCACAGTCCTTTCAAAGATGTCAGTTTATTTTCATTAGAAATGGTTTCCTACTAAAGAATATACTGTTTAAGAATATGTTGTGTAAGTCATTTCCAGTAAGGTGAATCTGAATATGTTAGAAGTGTCTTAGAAGGAAAAAAAAAAAAAAAAAAGCTAAACGTGCCATATTTTTTCCAAAATGGCCATATCATTTAAATCCCTTTATTGTAGGAGCTACTTTATATATGAAAATATATTTATATTTCTGTCTCTCAAAGGCAGGCACATGGCAACAGCAGTATAATAGGTATTTAGTAAATACTTGTGGAAAGAAAAACTTTTACCTACCTGTATTCTTTAGATATGTCCTGTTTGAATCCCATTGAATTCCTATCAAAAGAAAAGTCTATCACTAACAAGTATCTGTATCTAATAAATACTACTATTCTTTGTATATTTGAAAATGCCTTAAGTGATAACTGGGTATAGAACTCCATTCACATTTTTGCTTCTATATGTTGAAGATATTATGCCATTAACTTCTTGTAGGGGTGACATTAATGAGAAGTTTGATGTTAGTTTGCCATTTCCTTGTGGATATCTTGACTATTCTGTCTGATAATTTTTAAGAGACTTCCTTTTTATTTAATATAACAAAAAAGAAAATTATTGTCATTTTTACCAAGAAGGATTCTGTGTATTCAGTTTGACTGTCCATGCCTTCTTTAATTTCTATTACCTTATTAACACCATCTCTTCCATTTTCGCTGTTCTTTAGATGTTTTTGAATGTTTTCTCTTAATTGCTCTTTTTTTAAATACCTACAGTTCCTTCAGAATAATTCTGTCAACTATCATTTAGAACTGTCTAGTCTGCTTTTTAACTCATATATTTTCTGCCTGTTTTTAAAATTTCAGAACTACATTTCTTTTTAAAGTTTGTATTTGGTTCTTTCTCAAAAATACCTATACAATGTCTAGTTCTTGCTAATAGATTCTATTTCTTCTTTATCTTTCCAGACCTGGTTAAGATTTAAAGTCTTCGGTTTGCGTTATTATCTATAATCCCTCAGATATGAATTGTCATATCTGTTACATCTGCTTACTTTCATGGCAGTAGTTTCTATATATTCTGCATTTCATCTGAACTCCTTTTTTTCTTCATTGGAATAACAACATTCTCTGGGTTATGGAGGTCTACCAATGATATGTTTTTGCATTTGCGCCTCACTAAGCTCTACATCTTTCTGTTTTTTATTTTAAATATTGTTTTGTTGTTGTTAAATTGTACAGAGAAAGAAATATATACCCAGTAGTTTTCTTTTCGGAATGGAACAGAGGCTTTCTGTCTGTTCATGTTTATCAAGGTAATTGGAACCGTATAGTTAAAAACATTTTTTTCTTGACCCACTTATTAACAATTTATATTAAATAAATTATAAAATCAGTTTAATTCTAACTGTAACTTACTAACTATAGTTAACATCTTAGAATCACTAAATCTTTTATAATCCAAAAAATATTGAAAACTACAGGGCCAGGGAGATGGCTCAGTAGAGTAAGTGCCTGCCTGGCTAGCACAAGATCCTGAGTTCAATCCCTGGTACAGCAAAAAAAAAAAAAAAAAAAAAAGAAGAGTACAACATATGAAAATAGTTTTTCACATAGAGATAATTATTTTTTGGTTATCTATTTGTATAAAACTAAATAGCTAGGGACGTGGAGGTAGTTCAGCAGCATGGCAAGCACAGAGTCCCAAGTTTGATCCCTGGTGCCACAAATAAACCAAAACAAAACCAAATAACTCAAAGATTGCCTAGGGCTGGGGACATAGTGCAGTGGTGATCTAAGCACCTGCCTGGCAAGCACAAGGATCTGGGTTCAGTCCCCTGTACAACGTGCCATGCCAGCCCCATGCTAAGCCAGCCACTGAAACCAGGCATAGTGGCACTCGCCTGTAATCCTAGCGGTAGGGAGGCTGAGACAGAGGATCACTACAAGTCTGAACTGTTTAGCGAGACCCTGTACCAAATAAATAAATAAATGAAAGATTTAAAAAAAATTTTAAAAGACTGCCTAATAATTTTCAGTTACTGAATTTTAAAATTTTAGAAAGCTGCGCATTTTATACCATCTTGTGTAGAATCATTAATGTTTTCCTTACTTGGGATAATAGGTGTCAGCATGTGCATCAGTGTGTACACTGTCTTGACAACTGAACTATATTTGCCCTGTGCTATCTTTTTAAATGTCTAGACTGATATCTTCTAACACTTATTTCATTTGGAGAATGTGATCCACCTCATTTAGAGTGTATGGAGAGAAAAACAAGACATTGTTTATTTTTACACAAAACTGACTTTCTTTTCAGACTTAGTTTTGCTTCATTTCTCCTTTTCAGCCGTCTGAAGAAAAAGTGAAGGTGGATACAGTGCCACACAGAAAGACAGAGCAGCCATCGAATGAAGAAGGCGTCTCATTTCCCCTTTACATTTCACACCCTGTAAGCCAAAAGATGAAGAAAGTCCACCGTACAAACCAAACTACATTCATAATTGGAGAAACACCAAAAGGCATCCGCAGGTATGTCATCAGTAATGATACTAGACTTTAAGAATAATTAGATCCATATTAATACATGTTATTGATACATATACACAAAATGGTAAAAAACATTAGAAATGATACAAAATTTCAGTAAACAAAGGGGAATTTGGTAGCACTTGTTGTATTGCATGATGTTACCTTCAAATTAGGTGTTTAGGTTACCAAATACAAACCTGCAAAATTGGTTTTTTAAAAAGTTGTAAGAAATTTATTATTAGTAGTAATCTTTTTATTTATTTGGTACAGGGTCTCACTACACAGCTCAGACTCGTAGCAATCCTCCTGTCTCAGCCTCCCCAGTGCTGGGATTACAGGCATGCACCGCCACTCTCAGTTTCACTAGCTGGCTTGGTGCAGAGGTAGCACCATGTCGTACCAGGGATCGAACCCAGGTCCTTGGGCTTGCCAGTCAGGGGCTTAGACCACCAAGCTATCTATTTCCCCAGCCCAAGTTATAAGAAATTAAAAAGAAGAAAATTAAGCATTAACTATTTCTTCCAATAGACCAGCAGATACAAGTACAGTTATCCAAACTATCCTGCATATACACATGAATACATCTTTTTCCTTTTTTTTTTTTTTTTTTTTTTTTTTTTTTTTTTTTTTTTCTTTTTTTTTTTTTTTTTTTTTTTGTTCTTTTCCTCATCTCAGTTTTTCCTTTCTGTTAAACAGAAAGAATAATTATAAAAAGAAATATAATCCCGGGCCGGAGAGATAGCTCAGTAGAATAAGTGCTTGCCTGGCAAGTGCAAGGGCCTGAGTTCAATCCCTGGTTCTGCAAAAAAGAAAGAAAAAAAAAGAAATATAATCCCTTAATAAAATAGCAGATTTTTAATTGTAATCATACCTGGTAGCTGAATATTTTGGGAAAGTCTGAATTTTCTCACTTTCAAAAATATTTCCAGATATTTTTCCAAAACTAATTCCTAAATTGATTTTTTTCTAAATTGATTTTTTAAAAAACTAAAATCACCATATAGAAGGAAATGAGGTATTTAAGTGTATTGTACTCATTCATTCATTGAATATTTATTGAGTACCTGGTATGTGTGCAGGCACGTGGAGTGTTGAATGTAAACATAAGACATAGATGTAGAGCTTATCCTACATAAGTAGGGCAGGGGTTGACACTGGCTATAACATACATACATACATACATACATACATTTATTTATTTATATTTTAGGGAAGGGTTTTCAGGGTGTTCAGGGTCTCACTATTAGATGAGGCTCGTAGTGATCTGCCTGTTTACAGCCTCCCAAGAGCTGGGATTACAGATGCGGGCTACCATACCCAGTCTCAATTGCCATCTCAGCATACCCCGGGGGTGGGACCAGCATGGCAGGCCCAAGAATTGAACCTCCAGCCCCTGTGCCTACTTGCATGTGCTTTAATCCACTGAGCTATTTGGCTGGCCCTCAACCATAACTTTTATAAAGAAAGAGAAATATACAAAAAAGTAACTATAAAATGAGCAGACTGCCTTGGTAGAAAATAGCGAGATGGCAGGAGTTAGGGTGGGGCTTTCTAGTGACTACAGGGAAGCCTTCTTTACACAGGGGAAATGTAAGTTGGACCTGAAGGATGACCAGGCATAGAACCAGAGGAAGAACATCCCTGAGGAGGGAGGAGGTGTGGTCTGTAGGGGGAACCATGAGGAGGCTGTTAGACGCGGTGCACTGTAAACCACCCAGAGAGTGGCATGAGATGAAGACAGCACACATAGGGTAGAGTGTGTTAAGTCTCAGAGATTGGGAAGAATCTGGATTGTGTTCAAGTAAGTGGAAAGCTGATGAAGAAAGATGTGACCTGACGTGTTTTCAAAGGATCCTTCCAGCGTCTGTGTGGAAGAGGGCAAGTGGACAGGGGCAAATGATAGTCGGGTGATGGGGGTTTGCATGACTGTACTTTCTGTCAGAGAGCCAAGTGGTTTGGGAATGAAAGAAACCAGCATAGATTTATTGAATGAGGAAAACCAAGGTGGAACTTTGGAGTGAAAAAAGTCAAGAGTTCTGTTTTTTTCATATTAACTTTGGAATTCTTTGGAAATATCCGTTAGTGGTTATGTTACTCTGGGACTGGGGGTTAGAGATATAAACTTGGTAACTATCAGCAAGGAGGTTAAATGATTTTCAGAACCATGGCTGTGTGTCAACAGCCTGGACACAGAGTACAGGAAGGAGGCCCTGGAGAAGCAGCCTATTTGGTGGGGGCAAGTACAGAGTAGTCCTAGGATTGGGTCACAGCATAAGGTCCTGCAGTCCAGATGAGGGTTTCAAAGAAGAAGTGAACTTTATCAGGCTCTGCAGAATCCAGTGAAGTTGAAAGAGGTCTGGCGTTGGCAGCAGAGAGCTCATTGCTATCTTGGCACAAGCAATCTGAGTGGAGCAGTAGAGACACTAAAACAGGAGCCATTAGGGAAGGAGGAAGCCCTGCAGTGACTAAGCCTAGGCATGAGAAGGAGGCATGTAGCCAGAGGACATTGTGGGGTCCATGATGGATTAAAGAACAAAACTTGGGAAGACAGTAACTTCTGCTTTCAGTATTGAAGGAAAAGACACAGGGAAAAACATCAAGAGAGATGATGCCACAGAGTGATGTTCTAGAGGCAGACAAGCACAGCATTCAGACCACCCCCCAAGAACTGGCCTGTGAGAGGCATTCAAAGACAAGGGACCAAAATGGGCAGATGCGCCCAACAAAAAAATACTGTATTTTTCTTGTTGAATCAAGAATTAGTTCATAGAAGTTAAGATATAAAGCTTAGTGATACTGGACTTCCTTGGTGATGTTAACTTGAATGGTAAAGCATTCCATCCAGTCTGGTGGATTTTGTTCAGCAAATTTCAGTGGTTCTGTCATGAGCACAGCATAGGGAAATGTTGGGTTTTTACCAGGGCTTAGAATGGAGGGTGAGAGAAACAACAAAGCAGAGCTGCTTATAGAGGAGTGATGGCACAGACAAGCCCAAGCTGAGATTGAGCAGACAGGAGGGCCAGTAAATTGGAGGGCTTGATAATCAAGTGGCTGACGTGGAGCAAGAAAAGGAGTTCTGGGATTTGGAGGTGACAGTGACAGATGGAATCTTGGAAGCAGGGAAAAAAAAACATGGATTAGAGTCTGTGGAGATCAGATACAGCAAGTGATAGACCAAATATTGGGTAAGACGTCTATCTGGATATGGGTGTTGTCAGGAATAACAAAAGGTAGGATAGGAGTCAGACTGAGTCAGGATCTGGAGTGCTCAGACACTAGCACAGAGCAGAGACCAAAAGAAGCAAGGAAAAGATCCTGTGGTCCTATATCCTCTAGGGAAAGTGGGGAAATTATGCTGACTCTGGGTCAGAAGGCTCCCCTCTAGCAGCTGGCAATCCCAAACTATATGGTCCCTCCAATTACCAGCATGGTGGTGTGGCACAGAGCTGCCCATGCCTTCTGGGAAAGGGGAGCACACATACACACACCTATGTGTACACACACACACAACACAGACCGACACCACAGACAGATTTGCAGTAGTGGATTTTGCAGAGTGTGCTTTTTCAGTGGGGGTGGTTATTTTGCTAGGAATCTGACCATATACATTTTACCATGCTTTTTGAAGAGCCCATATGTCTTCATTGCCTTTAGCGCTGTGTATGTAAAATAAAAAGGATAAGGGATTAGTCCTTGCCTCCCTTCCTCCTGTAGACTTCCCTGTGACCACACAACTACTTCTATATGGAGCTCAGCCCTGCCATCGCACAGAAAGCTGATGTAGACAAAAAGTGGTTGTAGCTGTGTGCCACCTCTGCTCCTCAAGGAAAGGAGATTTCTAATTGTATCATTTGTACACAACTGCTTTTGAAAGCCTTGCTAAAGGACACCTATCATTGGTTTGATTTCCTTTCCTTTCTCTCTTTATATAAGTGGCTGGTGGGGGTTTACTCTAGATTCCTGTTTTCCTCACAAAGTGGCTAGCTTCTGCTTCTAGTTTTAGTGTACCTTGCAGATCCTTACATTTTTAGAAAAATTTCTTTGAAATCCCAGAATGAGGAAAGTGAGTTTGAAGGTAAAAATAAAGTGCATATGAATAATAAGCCACCCTGTAAGGGGCACCCATGTGGCATAATTTACTTGCAGACTACACTTCATGGGGCTTGCATCAGCTCTCCCATAGCAGTGACGGGCTCCAAGGTCATGGGAGGATCATGGTGTCGGCACATCGGAGGTGAAGTTACTTTGGCAGCTGCCAAGACAGCCCCATGTCTTGAATAAATAAAAGACATCAATTTGTAACCTTGCCAATCACTAAATCTTTACAACTGTAAATATTTATTAGAAGGCAGAAAAATGGATTTAAAGATGATTAATAAAGTAAGAATACTTCATTTGAAGTAAAATAATGGAATCTGTTAAGAACATGCTTGCGGGGCCGGGGAGATGGCTCAGTGGAATAAGTGCTTCTCTGGCAAGCGCAGGGGCCTGAGTTCAATTCCCAGTTCCGCCAAAAAAAAAAAAAAAAAAGAACATGCTTGCTTTCCAACAAGAATGTTGGTGATTTCCAGTGTAGACATCTAGGAGCTTGTATTTGTGTTACTGAGTATTCTGTTGGAGATGAGTGCGACTGTTGACCAGGCCTTGTGCAGAGTTTCGATTACCTTAAGCAAGACATGGCTGAGCACTGGAGCCATCGTGCTCATCCTGAGCCAGCAGAGACGGACAGCACTACTAACTGCCGCAGACATCAGAGGGAATACAGACGTAATACGATCACACTCCTGTAGTAAAAACAACATTATTTTCTCTGTTGTGTGACGGATACAGTTTAACCTTTTCAGCTGGGCATTCAGACCACTTAAGGTTGTCAGACTCTTTATTGGAGGTTCCCTCCAAACTGGGCCTATGCACATGTCCCCTCTCCCTGAGAGATGTGCTTGCCATATTTAGGTGGCTGACTGGAGGTGGCAGTAGAGAAGCCCTCCCTACCCACTTCTAATAAGATTTCATGTATTTGTTTCCTTTAGCTAGACTAGAAACTCCTTGAAGATAGGGAACTAGTTGTTACTAGTTACTTGGTCACTGTTGTATATTTACTACCATAGTACCTACCACATGACAGGGCTTGAGGAATATTTGTTGAATGAATATAGCTTTGAGACTTACAATCATATTCTTCAACACCATCTATGGCTTTAGAAAGTATCTACCACTGTTAGCACTTCCCTAACTCGTGGTACAGACTCCACTTCAGCAAACCAATACTCTGTGTCTTAGTCTGCTTGGACTGCCATAAAAAATCCCTACAACCTGGGGACTAGATGGAGGTGCTTGCTAATGCAGTTTTGGGCTTGCACGCAGCCCATCTTCACACTCTGTCCTCAGAGTGGCAGAGAGAGAGTAGGGGAAGGAGAGGTGAAGAAGGGAAAGATTAAAAAATAACATAATATCTCATTATTTCATGTTATGTGAAAACTGGAACATTGTAAGAGCACTGTGCTGACTCCCTACCTGGCCTTCCTGTCAAAGTAGGGCCCCACCCTTATGACCTCATTTAACCTTACTCCCCCATAAAGCCTTATCTCCAAATACTATCACTTTGGGTACTTCAACCTGATTTGGGGGAGACACAGTTGAGTTCACAGCACCTTTTCCTGTGTGTGGAAAGGACATAGTCCATAGCGCAACATACCCTAAATAACTTTTCTGCCTCCATCTTAACAAGGTTGCAGGAAGTCCATTTCCTCATCCATGAATATAAAAACTTTTATTAGTGCCTTATACTAAGAATGCAGCTTATTTATTCAAATAATATCTCACTTCTAAGGTCAGCTGTTTATGCTAAAATTGGACCAATTGAGAAAAAAAGAATCTAGATTTATCAGTTTGAAACTTTATTTTTTTTCAAAGTTTTATTGATAAACAGATAGCAATGAGACAGTTTCAAATCAAATTAGAAGTACAGTTTCAACAAATAATACACTGCATATATTCTTCTTAGTGGTTAATTGCTGTACAAGATGCGG